CCCAAAAACCCTAATCTAATTATTAAGGCCCCTACATTACACCCGTAAGCTTCCACCTCAACCCTCGAAATCTGAAAGCAAAACTCGGACTGGGATCCTTCTCACAGGAGGAAGGGCTCCGTAATGGTTCTACATGGAACATCTATGAATCCCTAGATCCGGCACACCTAAAGCCCGAACTCCCGAGAAGAAGCTTTGCACCGGAAATCTAAAACAATCAGCAACCCCGAAGCATCAGCAAGAAGTCGAAATCGACATGTCCAGAGGAAAAAAGGGACCCGAAACCCTAAAGCCCAAAACTTGTCGAGCATGTTGTTTTTACTTCCGGGGACTACGAGCTTTTCGATCGGACCGGAAGCACCCAATCCTCGAGTGTTTACTACAGCCCCAAACCGTATTCTAGTCCTTCAGGCCGCTATGGTAGCTCTAGATAGAGTGCAGGGATTATCTGCACTAGGTCTTGGGCCTGTAGACGCTTCAGTGTTCGAGGTGTGCCGTGCACCCGATAAAGATTCCTTCCCCAAGCCGGCTGAGAAGCCGAATGTTGCGATGAACCCCGGCGCGCGGGAGTTCGTCCCGGCAGCGCAGCTGTTGGATGCCTGGCCCAGCTATGGCTGTGAGGCCGGACAGGGAGAATCTCTGGCGGTGTTCACATGTATGTAGTTATACAGTGCTACAAGAGCATGGTGCGGTTTGGGTCGAGAAGTTGTGATTGTCTGTTCGTAAGCGATATGAGAGTGTAACACGAATGTCAACATGTACTTTTCGAACTAGTCTGCTATGCCCGCTCTGTGCCACGTTCTGCAACCCTGAAAGGTAGCACCCTTGCTACGAGGTAGCCCAGTGGCCCACTGGGTGTATTTTGTAATTACATAGAGTACATAACAGTACCTTCAGAGAATACATTCTGATGTTGTTGCTATGCTGCACTGCATAACAAGGTCGCTCACTCCTGAGCTGCATGAAGGTTTCCCGGCAATTAGTCGCCATCGGTAAGATTGCACATTGTCGTAGTGTGGCAAAAACTCGGCCTTATGCAATCTATTGGCACATGCCAAGCCCCGTTTCAACTCTAAAGCCCTACATGCCCTACAGCACTATACCTGAAATTGTAGACTCTAAAATTATGTTATGGCTACCGGTATACTCCTTAGATCCAGGCGGTATTATTGGGCCCTGCACTGATGGCCTAGGCCGCCCACTTACTGCCTCGCGCGGCCCTAGCCGAGCTGAGGAGGCTCGGTGTTGCGCTTAGGGTTTAGCGCCCTTAAGGGGGGTTCGGGAGGTTTAGGGCTTAGGGTTTAGGGCCCTTGGGGGGTTCGGGAGGTTTAGGGTTTAGGATTTAGGGTTTAGGGCCCTTGGGGGGCTCGGGGGCTTAGGGCCCTTGGAGGGTTTCGGGTGGTTTAGGGTTTGGGGTTGAGGGTCTTTGGGGGTTTAGGAGTTTAGGGCCCTTGTGGGGGTTCGGGGTTTAGGGCCCTTGGGGGTTTAGGGTTTAGGGCCCTTGGGTTTAGGGTTTAGGGCCCTCGGGGGTTACCTTTAGGGCTTCGGGTTGGGTTAGGGCTTGAGGGTTCAGGGTTGCAAGCCACATTTGCACCGAGTTGATGCTTCAAGCAGCCACACAAACATAACCCTGCAAAGCCAAAACCCTGCGTCTCGAGGTCTGAAGCTGGACGAAAACTTCTGCTTGACTTATCATAACTACAGGCTCATTACCAATACCACTGTTGGGGCCCAAAACCATATTCTAATTATTAAGGCCCCTGCATTACATCTCAAGGTTTCAAGGTTAAGAGTTTAGGGCCTAGTAGGAGAAACAAGGGTCCCTATTCAGCCCAAAAACATACAGAGACATAAAACCTTCGTTTCGGAGCTGCTTTTGACACCAATGGGGCTCTTGTCATGGAGACGTTATGCGAAGGTGCCCTTTCGTGCCATGTATAGGCCCGGAGTTTGAAACTTGCGACCCTGAACCCAAAAACCTTCACCCAAGACCCTAAACCCGGAACCCAAAAACCTTCACTCAAGACCCTAAACCCTAAACCCAAAAACCTTAACCCAAGACCCCAAACCCCAAACCCAAAACCAAGACCCTAAGCCTTAAACCCAAAAACCTTAACCCAAGACCCTAAACCCAAAAACCCTAACCCAAGACCCTAAACCCCGAACCCAAAAACCTTAAACCAAGACCCTAAACCCTAAACCCAAAAACAAGACCCTAAACCTTAAACCCAAAAACCTTAACCCAAGAC